CACGGGGGGGGGAGGAATAAGCACTGGATGGAGGTGCTCGAAAGGGAAGGAGAGGAAGGTCCAGCGCCCCATTGCAAACACAGGAAGGGGGCAGAGGTCGAGGAGGTGTGTTGCAATGCCTAGGTTGGTGCGCAGGGAGATTATTTTTTTTGGGGGGGGGTTGCAAATTGGGGAGGGGGTCCCGGCTCGAGGGGGAGGGGGTGAACTAAGCCAGCCCAGCCCCCCACACACACACACACCTTCCTCCCTAACCCCCCCGTCGCCCCTCACCTGTGCAGCCCGCGGGACTGGCTGGAGAGGGCTGGACTGCTCCTCCGTTCCGCCCGCGCGTCCTGCTAGCCGCCGGCCCACGCCATAGCCCGGGCCGGCCTGGCTCAGCGGCTGCTCCGGTTACCCTGCACTATTCCTGGGTTCCTTTTCCATAACTATTCAGGTAGACCCAACCACTACCCTCCCACTCCACTGAGCCAAGTCTGAAACCCTCCTCCAGCCTAAGGATCCTTCTTAGAGATGTAAAATTTCCGGAAATTTTGAAGCTCGGAAAAAACGGAAATTTTCGGAAAAATTGAAAAAAATGCTACATTAGCATTTCTTTTGTCTTTTCTAGATTGAAAGTCATTCTGTTACTTTAGGAACATAAAATATTACTATGGACATTTTTACTTGGCATGAAATTATCACAACTAGCATATTAAAAATATAGTGTATCCAAACAATTATTACAGAATACCCACCCACATGCAAAAACAAAACTGAAACTTTTTTATTTTCTTCTGACAATCGCACCTCCTAAAGGAAGAAATGCATCTTGTTCTTGCATTGGAGAGTTCAGTTTGTAACCTAGGACTTGCTTGTCCTCAGTGCACAGAAATTAGATCAATCTGATACCATTATATATTTTAGAAATGATTTGGAAAATATTTGAACACCTTGTCTTAAAATATTTTATTTATCATGTTAAAATAAAACATTCCATAATCAATTTCTTTTCTTTTCTTTTTTCAATTTTTCCAATTTTCCGGAAAAAAACAAAAAAGCTTCAGGGGAAAAAACGGAAAAAAACCGGGTTTTTTCTGGGCCTTCACACCTGGAGGCTGGCAACCCTAGGACTGCCAGCCTCCTGGTGGGACCTGGGGATCCCCTGGAATTACAGCTCATCACCAGACTACAGAGAGCAGTTCCCCCGGAGAAAACAGAGGCTTTGGAGCAATGCTCCCTTCTAAGCTGTGGAGTCGTGAGAGCAGAAATTCTACTTTCTGAGCTACTGGCATCCAGAGGAGATCCAGGAAATTACAGGCCAGTCAGTCTGATGTCGATATCGGGTAAATTGGTGGAAACTGTTATTAAGAATTAGTAAGCACATTGATGAACAAAACCTATTGAGGCAGACTCGGCATGGGCTCTGTAAGGGAAGATCTTGTCTCACTAACCAGTTAGTGTTCTTTGAGGGGGTGAACAAGCATGTGGACAAGGGGGATCCAATAGATATTGTTTACCTTGACTTCCAGAAAGGTTTTGATAAGGTTCCTCATCAAAGGCTCCTAAGTAAGCTCAAAAATCATGGGATAAAAGGACAAGTCCTTTTGTGGATCAAAAACTGGCTAATTAATAGAAAGAGAGTGAGTATAAATGGGCAATTTTCTCAGTGGAGGGTGGTAAGCAGTGGGGTACTGCAGGGATCAGAACTCGGTCCATGGCTTTTTAACTTGTTCATTAATGATTTGGAGTTCGGAGTAAGCAGTGAAGTGGCTAAATTTGCAGATGATATGAAGTTGTTCAGGGTGGTGAAAACCAGGGAGGATTGCAAGGCACTCCAAAGAGATCTGTCGAGGATGGGCGAGTGGGCGTCAATGTGGCAAATGGGGTTCAATGTGGCCAAGTGCAAGGTGATACACATTGGAGCCAAAAATTGTAACTGTAAATACACGTTGATGGGGTCCGAACTGGCAGAGACTGACCAAGAGAGAAATCTTGGAATCGTAGTAGATAACTCACACAAAATGTCGAGACAGTGTGTGACTGCAATAAAAAAGGCCAATGCTATGGTGGGGATTATTAGGGAGGGTATTGAAAACAGATCAGCCAATATCATAATACCCCTATATAAATCAATGGTGCGACCTCATTTGGAATACTGTGTGCAGTTCTAGTCACCACACCTTAAAAAGGATATTATAGCATTGGAAAAAGTGCAGAAAAGGGCAACTAGAATGATAAAAGCGTTGAAACACTTTCCCTATGAAGAAAGGTTAAAGCGCTTGGGGCTCTTTAGCTTGGAGAAACGACGACTGAGGGGTGACATAATCGAGGTTTATAAAAATATGCATGATATAGAGCAGGTAGAGAAAGAGGTACTTTTCTCCCTTTTTCACAATACAAGAACTCGTGGGCACTCCACGAAATTGCTGAGCGGTTGGGTTAGAATAGATAAAAGGAAGTCCTTCTTCACCCAAAGAGTGATTCATACGTGGAATTCATTGCAACGGGAGGTGGCGGCAGCTCCAAGCATTGGATAAGCATATGGAGCAGATGTCCATCAGTGGCTATTAGCCACCAGGAATATAGATAGGGACTCTAGGGAAGTGATGCTCTGTATTTTTGGTGCTGGGGGGGGGTCAACAGTGGGAGGGCTTCTAGGGCCCTGGCCCCACTGCTGGACCTCCTGATATCACCTGGTATTTCTGGCCACCGTGTGACACGGAGTGTTGGACTGGATGGGCCACTGGCCTGATCCAACATTGGCTTCTCTGATGTTCTTATGTTAGCAAGCGATTTGGCTGCTGCAGAAATTAGTTTGCTCAGGGGCCGTCCTTCCTGAGCCGAGACAAAAATGTGTGAGCCGGAGGCTAAAGAACTGAGAGCTAGCTCACACCAACTCAGCTTAGAGGGAACACTGCGCTGGAGGGTGGACTCTACGGCATTGGACCCCACCGAGGCCCCTGTCCTCCCCGGGCTCCATCCACAGACCTCCAGGGTTCTCCTGCCCGAGCCTGGCAACCCCATCCCCTTCCATCCCCTGACCGGTGGCTAGGGGGGACCTGGCAACCCAATGAGAGGAGCTGAATTTCTCAGACGCCGACACACAAAAAAGGGTTCCCAAACTGCAGGTGGCTGGCATGCAGTGGGGTTTCCAACTCTGGGTTGGGAAATGTCTGGAGATTTGGGGGATGGGGAAGGCGGGGTTTGGGGAGGGACCCGAATGGGGTAGAAGAAGAAGAGGAGGAGGAGATTGGATTTATACCCCGCCCTTCACTCAGAGAGCGGCTTACAGTCTCCTTTCCCTTCCCCTCCCCACAATGGACATCCTGTGAGGCAGGTGGGGCTGAGAGAGCTCTCTTTTGAGGACTGCCCTTGCTAGAACTTGTGACTGACCCAAGGTCACCCAGCTGGCTTCATGGGGAGGAGTGGGGAATCAAACCCGGTTCTCCAGATTAAAGTTCGCCGCTCTTAACCACTACACCAAACTGCGTTGAGGGCCCTGGACAGTGTTCCCTCTAAGTTGTGGAGTCTTGTGAGCAAAAATTCTACTTTATGAGCTACAGGCATTAAAGTTGTGAGCGTGCAATTTGGCTGCTGCATAAATTGGTTTGCTCTGGAGCCCTCCTTCCTGAGCCAAGACAAAAATCTGTGAGCCAGAGGCTAAAAAACTGTGAGCTAGCTCACACTAACTCAGCTTAGAGGGAACACCTTGGGGTTGCCAGCCTTCAGGTGAGACCTGCTGTTACAATTGCTCCCCAGATGACCGAAAGCAGTTCCCCTGGAGAAAATGGCTGCTTTGGAGGGTGGACCCTATGGCGTTATATCCTGCTGAGGTCACTCCCCCTCAAAACCCCACCCTCCCCAGTCTCCACCTGTAGTGTATTCCAAAGCTGCCATGGAATGCATGATGTATGTGAAACATCTCATTAACTTGTAATGTTAAGCTTCATCCTGGGCTAGGATCCAAATACATCCAATGGTGTTGCTAGCCCAGGAAGTAACAAGCCAATCACTTCCCAGCAAGCTCCCTGAGCGGGAACGCCCGTGATTAGTCCTTATGTGAACAACCTTATTGGTTGGTAGGTGTACGGTGGGCGTGGCTACATTAGCCGGGAATGTTTAAAAGCAGGACAGCCGCAATGTAAAACCTGAACCGTGTTGTTCTGGCTATTCATGTTGGTCTGTGTTGGAGTTGTGTTCGAGTTGAAGAATAAAGCTGTGTTCTTGCTGAATCACTCTCCAACTGCTTGTTAAGCGAGCGACTTAACACACACACCCCAAAATAATGCAGGTATTTCCGTTAGGGTTGCCAAATCTGGTTTGGAAAATACCTGGAGACTTTGGGAGTGCAGTGCTCGCTTCGGCAGAACATATACTAAAATTGGAAATTGGACTGTGGGGGTGGAGCCAGGAGAGGGCGGGGTTTGGGCAGGGGAGGGGCCTCAGCCTGGTCCAGTGCCATAGAGTCTCCCCTTCAAAGCAGCCATTTTCTCCAGGGGAGCTGGTCTCTGTCAGCTGGAGATCAGTGGTAAAAGCGGGAGATCCCCAGGCCCCACCTGGAGGCTGGCGACCCTAATTTCTGTACCCAGAGCCAGCAACCATAGACCCAGGGAACTGTTCTCTGTAGTCTAGATCAGGCCCCCCACACACACCTTTCCTGGTACTGGCCAAACATTTTTAGAAAGTGGATCAGGCTGCGGGAGAGGGGGGTTTGCCCAGCAAGATTTCTGACTGGCCATTGGATATTTGATTGGCTGGGCAAATTTTTTTAAAAAACCAGTGCTTTTGGCAGCCGCCACCGCTGCCGCAGCACAAGAATATCTGTGACTGAGGTTAAGCCCTGGTAGCCATTTTGTGACTGGCACCACTTCTCGCAGCCGCCGTCTTGTGTCAGAACTCCAGAGGTGTGCCTGCAGACTCAAAAAGGTTAGGGACCCCTGGTCTAGCGATTCCTGCCTTGACTCCATCCACCTCTTGCTGATTCGTGCTCTTAATGTTTGGTGTGGTGGTTAAGTGTGCAGGCTCTAATCTGAGAGAACCGGGTTTGATTCCCCACTCCTCCACTTGCAGATGCTGGTGTGACTTTGGACAAGCCATAGTTCTGTCGGAGCTGTTCTTGAAAAAGAGCCGTTTCTGTCAGAGCTCTCTCTGTTATGTATTGAGATGTATATAACTGCCTTGTGAACTGTGCCATTGAGATGCCTTGTTAAGCTTCGCCCTGGGCTAGGATCCTAATGTAACCAATAGGAGCCCTAGCCCAGAATATGTTTGCCAATCACCGTGCAGAGCGGGATCGCTTGTGATTGGTCCTTATTGCTTCAACCTCATAGGTTGCTTATTGTACAGTGGGTGTGGCTACATTAGCCGGGAATGTTTAAATACAGAGCAGCCAGTGCTTG